ATATATATATATATATATATATATATATATATATATATATATATATATATACCATACATATAGACAGATTAAAAGATATGCTATTAATAATTTGTGTAGTTATGTATTTTTATTTATTTTTATGTGTGAGCGCACACACACACATAAACAAACACACACACACACAAAAGAAAAACATCAAAAAGGAACAATCAAAGACCACAAATTATATATATTTTTATTTATTTTTCCTTGAATTCAATTGCAAGAGATACAGATGCTGCAATGACTTTCCACGGATCAACGACTCAAGGGCCGCTGCCACAAGATGAGACGGGAAGAAGAAACAAAGAACGGAAGAAAAAGAAAACCAAAAATATAATATGATAAATGAGTGACAAAAGAAACTGGGGATATGGTTACGTCTTTCATTCAATAGCGTTGTACGACCCATTACAAGTGTTTAATCATTCTAGTACCTTCCCAGCCTACAGTGACGTAAGAGGCAAGTGAGAAATTGATAAAGAAGCAAAGATGAGGAGAGGAGAGGAGAGGAGAGGAGAGGAGAGGAGAGGAGAGGAGAGGAGAGGAGAGGAGAGGAGAGGAGAGGAGAGGAGAGGAGAGGAGAGGAGAGAGGAGAGGAGAGGAGAGGAGAGGAGAGGAGAGGAGAGAGGAGAGGAGAGGAGAGGAGGGGAGGGAGGGGAGGGGAGGGGAGGGGAAGGGGAGGGGAGGGGAAGGGGAAGGGAAGGGAAGGGAAGGGAAGGGAGGGGGAAGGGAAGGGAAGGGAAGGGAAGGGAAGGGAAGGGAAGGGAAGGGAAGGGAAGGGAAGGGAAGGGAATAGAGAGGAGAAAAGAAAAGAAGAGAAAAGAGAGGTGAAGAGAAAGCCAGAGAAGAGAGGAGAGACGAAAAGTGACGAAAATAGAGAAGAAAATAAAAATGAAAATACAAATATTAACATTGCAAAAACTTGTTCTATTGGCATGAGTAAGTATTTAGAAAGATATCCAAAATTTCATATTACACATATGAAATTTCTGAGTATACATATGAGGTTAAAAAATAAATAATAATAATAATAACAATGACAACAATAATAATAACAGTAATGATAATAATAACAATAATGACAAGAATAAAAACAACAATAACAATAATGAAATAATAATAATAATAATAATACCACCACCATTACCTGCAATTCTATTCCTAAAAAACATAAATGAAAATGAACACATCACTTCGTAGCAGAAAGAAAACACCTCTTTCTTGTTTAGCAAATAAAATCAACAAAAACAAAAAGCCTCCAAATCTCGATTTCAAAAGAACATGGAAAAAATATAATCAAAGAAACGCATCATTCAGTCAATCAGCTTTTTCCGTGACCTTACAAAAGGACTCCTTTGACTCTGACCTTGTGAGAAGTTACATTCATACCATAGGTTAGCTTAATCATCTTAATTCAAGAGGGTTGGTGGTCTTCTTTCTCTTTCTCATCTTCTCTGGTTTCTTTTTAATTATGACTTTTATCTCTTTCTTTTTCTTGTGTTCTCATGTGTCTTACGTTTCCACCGTGCCTTTGGACTCATTTTTGGGATAAATTTTTCAATTTCACTTTGATTTGGAACTCAAAAAATTAACACTATTGATGATAAAAGGTAAATGAATTCATAAAAAATAATAATAACAATGCATGTTTTAACCCCAACAGGATAGAAGATTCCTGAACTGCTCGAGTCGCAAATGGTTAAACTAAGAAGGAAAAACTTTGGTTGTATTTCATCCTGTGTAACATATACATCTGCCATACACTGTCTCTTAGGAGTTAACCCACTGGCACTAGGTACATGCACTGTCCATTGTTTTATTTGTTTTATTTTTGCTCTACTAAGTTTGTTTACACAAGCATGGCCTCAGTTTATTACTAGGCCTACCTCATAACACCTCTTCACCCTGCTCCTTAATTTTTTGGGGAAAAAGAATTCTATCACTATTTTTAATATTACTGTTATCGTAATACTCCAAGAAATAATAACAGTAATAACACAAAAAAAGTGAAAATTCAACGAAAAGTGAGTGAGGTCTGGTAGGTCTTGGTAATCAAGAACTTTTAGAGCCATCCATGTGTAAACAAACTTAATAAAACAAAACCAACATTTCTGCACATTCAAAGCACAAGATATGCATCTGTATATGTATACATATACATATATCATTAATCTATGCATATGTATAAAATAATAAAGAAATAAAACTACAGAAAGGAAGAAATAAATCTAATTCTATTCCCCACTAAGGCTGGTAAACTCCCTTCTCCTCCCCCTCTTGCACCAATTGCACCTAAGCAACATGAGGCCAAACTCTCACACCACCATATCCAGTGCTCTATGGTCTGGACAATTCTTCGAAACCTCTTTGAATCACTTTGTCATTTCTGAAGACGAAACGCCAGCCCCTAAAACGACTGAGTGCGTATTACAAAACTGAGCATTTTAGGAAAAACCTTAGAAAAAGCAACCCATCCATTCCAAGTACAAAATGTGTAGCTCATAAGTACTGGACTTTCTAGGCCATTTGTCCACTGCTATTCGATAAACTATACGCATCTTCTTGTTTGCCTACATGGAGGGATCCAAAAATAGATATTCCTATGTAGCTTACTCTTTAAATCACTGGGAAACAAATCCAGACCATTTTCTCTGAGATTAATGGCATATATATTACACTTGTGTATATATACATACACAACAATAGAATTAATAGTCCTGGCTTCAGATACAAAATCTAAACGTTAAGCTGAACCCCCTAAAAGACACTCCTCTCTCTAGTCTAGTTCACCTGTTCGCCTTGTAAATGCTAAGATTCACGTCTGACAACAAAAACACTAGTTCGAGGCAAGATATTTTCCTTCCCCATTAATAAATAAAGAAAAGAAATGAACAAGGATTCTTTTTTTTTTTTATTAAAAAAAAAAAAAAAAAAAAAAAGGGAAACTGAAAGAGTGGGGAAAAGAGCGCCAAGAAAAGAAGAGCTTCGTCATTGTAAAAAATCCTGCATGAAAGAAATCAACGGTATTACATCTCTGTAAAACTGCCTAATGTAAGATGAGCTCATGACAGCTTGTAATTACAAAATCAAAGTAAAACACTCAAGCCTTATTCATCCCATTGACTGTTCTCCTTTGCTCATTTAATTCAAAAATTATTAAAAACTTTTACCTTCTCCATAGCATCTTTCAAATACCGAAACCTTTTCCTTTTAGAAATAACTTTGATCGCAAGTGTGAGAAAAATGTAATAATAATAACAATAGAATCAAGAAAATTACAAAACTAATAATGATGACCACAATAATATCATTAGCTGTACTAACCTACTAACGTCAACAATAATCCAATGAAAATGACAATAAAAGTAAAAAATGAAATTGATAAAATAACTCGGAGGAAGGAACAGCGTGAAGAATAAAGCAATTTTCCACCTGTTTATGCCTCAGGGGAGTCGCAAATTTTCCCCCGACAGTGTTGGAGAATTGAACTGCATTATTTTCTTTGGTAAAAGCTGGTGCCTTCATGTTGGAAACAAAGAAAGAATAAAGAAAAGTCATAATTATGAAAGCTTTGTGTGTGCATACTTTATTTCCAAATGAAAAATTACAAGGAAATCAAGGAAAAAAATAAGTAAATCCCCACTCACACTTGATACTGATTAAGAGGAAAAAAATAAACCATAAAAAACAGAGAAAATATCAAAATTAATAAGAATACTACTAATAATGATGATAATAATTAATGATAACAATAATAAAAATAATAATGATAACTATAACAATAATGACTATAACATTAACCATAACCATCACAGAAAACAATAATAATTATGATAAATAAAAATAATAAAAATGATAATAATAACAACAAAAACTAACAACATTAATGATGACAAACTCGAAGACGACCCACAGCCTCTCTTCCAAACTCAACGAAAGGAAACCCTGTAAATAAAGCCTCTGCAGTTAAACCCCCTGATAAACAGCATCTGAAAAGCTTGCCCGGGACCAGAACTGAACTTAAACCATGTGTTTCGAGAATAGTTTTTATTCTATTTTTTTTCTCCTTTTTCGCAAGCCTAAACCCTGTAATTATTTCGTGACCCTAAGACAATCTTCCTTTGAAAATTAATGAAAAAAGAGAAGAAAATAAATAAATGAAAATGACAAAATAAAAGCTATACCCCCTCATAAAAAAAAAAAGCAAAGAAATGAAAAGACGAAAAAAAAAACTAAGGGAGAAGAAACGAGAAATTATTGAGACGAATAAGTAGAAACGTTTTCGTGTGTCAAAGCGTCTAACAAGTGAGGGAAAATACATGTGATACTCTTTCAATGAACACCGTTGCCATTGACTCGTCTGTTTTTTCTGTTTTGCTTTTTTTTGCTTTTCACTTTTAGTTTTTGGCATGAGGGACATTTGTGCAGCCAAAAAGGCCCACACACACAAAAAAAAGGAAAAAATCTTAATGAAATGAGCAGAAGTGATAATAAAAAAAAGGCGAATGTGACTTTTATACAGGGTAAATGGGAGAAGAAAGAGTAGAATGAAAATTAATAATAATAATAAAAAAAATGTTCCCCTTAATTACACCATATGCTAATTAACAGAACCACTAATTCCTAAAGAGTAACATGTAGTAACAATAAAACGTAATGATGAATTTACTATCTACATTCGCAGGAAGTAATTTCACCCTATATATATTATACATGTACACACACACATATATATATATATACATAAATATGTGTA